CTTCTATATTCTGATCTGTGATTCTGCTACACTCTCTCTTAAAACAGAAAATTTCTTAATTTAAAAAAATTCTTGTTCTCACTGTAGTGCATGACTACATCCTAATTTCTTCACTAGAAATACATGATGCTTTGATCCAAAATTAGATTATACCCCCCCCAAAAAAATCATACTAGAATGGGTCCTTGACTACCAAAAATACAGAGTTTGTGCTTGGAAAATTTTGTAATAATAAAATATACATCTATTTATATCACCTTACCACAAACTCAGCATTAACACAAAGGAAATCCCTATGTTTATAATATTCTGCTGCTTAGAAAAAAATTAAGAGAAATTACTTTGAGTCATGGCAATGATTGTCAAGTGTCAAAAAGGACATTTGAAGTTGTAGGCAAGGCAGGCATCAAGTTTACATCTTTTGGATGATTATAAAAGGTTAATAAAAAATGTTGAAGACCCACATTTGCCAGGACTGAGTTACACGCGTTGTTCATTAACAGCCCCAGGAAGCTTGGTGCACAATGGGAAGCTGGAGAGGCTGGTCATGCTGAGCATATCATTTAGGTTGTTTGTAAACTGAAGAGTTAGTTATTATTTCTCTAGGTACCATGATCTCTCACAAATAAGATTCGTTGAAAATACTGAGAAGGCAGGCAAAATATACAAAGTAACTATGCTTTTTGGAAAAAAGATACATTTTTGATTTATTGTAACAAACTGAAAATACTAACCATTCTTCAATAACCTTGAAAACCAGAATTGCTGTTTTCCAGTAACCCACTCTTCTCTGTGCTGTGTCCCTTTAAGATGTGGTTCCGCCTCTCTTTCTTCTAAGGGTCACACACTTTATCTGCCCAAGACTAGTGTGAGACACACAGTGGTCCTTTCATTTCCAATGCTATTTGCATTATTATGGTCCAAGAACACTTTGCACTGGGACCATTCCAGTCTCTGCTCACTCTCTGTTTGTACCAGAGTGAGCCTTCTTTGTAAAGCCACCTTCAGTTTCCAAGATGACACTAAACACTCTCACTCCCTGGCCTCTGTTAATCCAGATTCAGCTGCTGTCAATTTGCCTACTCCAATGTCTGCTGTGGATAACTGATTGATAAATAAAACACTGATTGGCCAGTAGCCAGGCAGGAAGTATAGGCGGGACTAACAGAGAGGAGAATTGAGAGAACAGGAAGGCGGAGAGGAGGAGACGCCAGCCTGTCATCCAGGGAACATCATGTAGAGGCAGCAGGTAAAGCCACGGAACATGTGGCGACATACAGATTAACAGAAATGGGCTGAGTATAAGAGTAAGAGCTAGACAATGGTAGGCCTGAGCTAATGGCCGAGCAGTTTAAATAATATAAGCATCTGTATGTTTATTTTATAAGTATGCTATAGGACTGCCGAGACTTGTTGGGACTCGGAGAGAAAAACTCTAGCTACAAATGTCGATGACCTGAACTAGAACGTCACATGTCCTATCATTTGCTTTGTGATCTCTTGAAATGCCCACCATCCCTTCCTACTCAAAGTGAACCTTGGCTGGCCTCATTTCTTCTCCTCCTTAAAATGCCAGGTGTAATTCCAGACTTTCTCTCTCAGATCATTGCCTTCTAAGCAGGGCATCTGTCACACCCCACACAGGCACACATTGATGACTATTCCAGATATCCAGATTAATTCCTGGTGTGCAGAGATTGCTGTGGAATCTGTAAATTTATGGGAACCATTGGTAATTTTAGTGTTTTTTTTTTAAATAAGACTATGTTAACATAAATGTATAAACTGAATATCGAGGATTTCTTAGTTACTATAAGAGAGGATTTAGAATGGGAACTGGACATTAAGAAGACCAGGTGTCCCACCTGGACTAGAGTTGGGACAAATGGACAGTGAAATGCAAACCAGTAGAGGCTAACTGCATTCCAAAAAAGGGGAAATGGACCATGCAGGGTTAATGGCAGAGGACAAGTGAGATGCCTTCAGATTTAGCTAGAGGTTAAGAGAGTTGGCATTCTGGGGCAGACACCAAGCAGAATGGCAGCAAAATTTACACCAGAGAGGGTAACAACGCCTGAAGAAATTGAGCAGAAAGTAAAGCAGTTTAAGAAAAGTCGAAAGGCATGATGGGATCCAAGAAAAGATTTGTAGAACCAGACCATACTCTCCGTGCTAGGAAAACTGATGCCCTCAAATGAGACCATCACTTTAAAGACATTAGGACACTGGACTAGACTACCTCATGATCAGGCCTCAGTGTCTGCTTGGATGGTTGGATGGAGGAAGATGGTCAGAGGAAAGGAAGATGCCACCTAACTTAAGGATTCCAAAAGCAAGGGAGTCAAAGTTCAAGCTCAGCCAAGGCCAAAGTGCTGCCTGACTATGTAAGTTTAGCCCTGACTATTGGCTCCACCTGTGGACACACTGTGCAAACGCAGGGAAATGAAGATGCCCTTGACGGGATTACACTGTTCTACCCTTTTGGCAACACTCACCAACTTTGCCAAATGTTCATGTTAACTCATTTCTTACTCTAACAGTCTAGTACATAGTCACTTTCGTGTTTGTGCACACGGAGTGTGTGTGTGGCGTCTATGCAAGCACACACCCATACACATGCATGTGGAGGCCGGATGAGGTTGCTGAGTGTCTTCACCTCTTGCTCTCCACCTTACTTCTTGAGATAGGGTCCCTCACTGATCCTGAAGCTTGCCATTCCAGCTTTGCTCCTGATCAGTGAGCTCCTGGCATGGGCCTTTCTCTACTCCCCGATGCTGGGATTGGACGCAAATGTGCTCGTACATGACTTTCACAGGGTTTGTTGGCCAAGTCTTCAAACTCATCTCTTCTTGCACAGCATGCAGTCTGACCTCCTGAGCAAATTCTCTGGCCCCTCAGCTTGTTTTCTGTGCATTATTCATCTATACTGTATAATTTGGGGTTTCTAGCCACTGGGTTCAATTCTAGGAGAGGTCAAATGTGTTGCCAACAAACACAATGAAGGACTGTTCCATGTCAGGGAAATATAAATGACTATAAAGGATTATTTTTGTCTAGTTACTGGTTTAGACTATATGAATTCTTAGTAGTTAGAAATCATGTATACATAAAGGCAAACAGAAGAGAAGAAGACCTTTAATCATACACATAGAAAACACACAGAATTCCTGAACACTGTCTATGAGCTCAGGATCTACAAAATGGAATAATCTTTGATACCCTAAAAAACCTGGGAAGAACTACTGTTATATGTTATGTTATGGTCAGTGTATCTTTTTCTTTTCTTTCTTTTTTTTTTTTTTTTTAACAATTCTAAGCAGGGTGATAGGTACTTAATGGTCAAAGTTTGCAGAAAATTTTAACTAAGTAAACAAAGAGTCAGTCACATAAGTTATGTGGCACAGTAGTACAATAATAATGATAATAATAATACATGAAGTAAAGCTCAATTCATCCAGCATTTTTTAAATATCTAAAATATTTTTTGAGATTTTTATTTATTCAGGATTATTTGTTTGAATGTATGTCTGTGTACCACATAATGTACCACATGCCTGTGGATGCCAGAGAGGGCATCCAATTTACTGGGACTAGAGTTACAGACATTTGTGAGCCAACAAATGGGTGCTGGGAACTGAACAAGTTTCCTCTGGAAGTGCAGCCAGTTCTCTAACTGCTAAGCTTCTTTCCAAACCTTAACAAACTCTAAAAGACAAACACAAGGTCCTGGAACCCACTTAAAAGTCAAGAACAGACTGAACACCTATGAATAAAATGGCCCAGGTAGGGACATGCAAATGGCCACGATTACTTGTCAATAAAGAAGTATGCCAAGTCCAAGTGAACATGGCATTGTCTCTTCCTCATTACATCTGCCATCATAATGACTCACAGATCACTGATTCACAAACAGCACTGTACAATGACCGAATTTTCAAGTAGCTGATGTTTCAGAAGCATTCATGGTACAACCAACCTTAGCCACCTCTCTTGTTCCATGACGTGGTAATTCGCTGAGTTTTAGCTAGATGGGAATTAGAAGTTTTCTCTGTGACTCATGTTCTTATATCAACATATTTTTTAATTATAAAAAAATTGTACAACTCTGATGACAAAAGACATCAGTTATATCAGGTCAAGTATATTTGTTTTACATACAGAATAGAGATTAATCTGCTTTTTAAAGAATTTATAAACAGTACAACATAACTCAATTCTGCTGTCTGTAGTCTGATTTTATACCTATCTGATTTTCTTATCAATATTGATAACAAAATGACCACATATCTATTGGTTTCAAACAGAAGCTTGCTGAAGTCTTGGAGATTCATCTAATTATACTTCTTCAAAAATTTAAAGGCTGAAGTAATGTGACCTAATTCCTAAAAAGGACATGGATCAGTTTTTTTTTTTTTTTTTTTTTAGAGATTAGCAGTAATAGGTAATAGGAGAGATTTTAATATTAAAAAGGTGAAGGAACTAGTAAGCTGAACTTTAATATTTAGCATGGACTTTCTGATAATTTCAGAACTGAAAGGCCACAGAGGCTGCATTTGCTATTACTCTTCTGATCTTGTTCCCTCGGAGCTCCCTATTGATTCAGTCACTCCCATGAAATTAATCATAACAGATATACAGAGGTGGACAAGAGTTACTTCCTCACTCTATTCCACAAATATCTTCAACGCTTTTCCAGTACAGATGCCAACACAGGAAGTGAAATGGGGATGAAGGAAGAGGAAAGAAAGTATGATAGCCTCCCACAGCACAGAGAAGCCTTTAGAATTGTGCTCTTACCTCGATGTCTGTTTACCATCTTTGTGCAAATTTAAAAAAAAAACAGATAAACAAAAACAAAGGAAGAAAATCAAAGCATTCCTGACATTAATTGTGAAATGAAGGGCTTTCAGAAAAGAGCCGAGTTCTTTGGTGCTAAGCAACTGTAGGAAGACATTTTCCCCCCCGCTGGCCACTTTTCCTCTTAACGTGCCTCCACTTACCTGATAGGGGCACCTTTGGCTTGTGCGGGTCTCAATAATACTGTGATTGTGGTGGCGGTTTCATTCAGAGAGGCATCAACTCCTTCATAGTCAGGTAAAGTCGGAGCTGAGAAAAGACCGAGATGGAAAAAAAAAAAAGAGTTCAATCGATTCGTAGCAATATATTATAGGTTGCTATGAATAAATGATCTGACCCTTAAAGGAAAATCAATTTAGTTCCTAATTAACTGCAGTGAACCTTATTTTATAGCATGACACTGAACCTTAATCCTGGGCAGAAGAAGCTAGAAAGGCAAGGTTGTTGGATTTTAAAAAGCTGCCTGGGGACTCGTATCCATCATATTCCAAACACTGTGTACACACACTGATTTCAGCTTCCCAAAGTCTTTAAGCCACCAAGGAAGAAGGCAGGATAGAGGGACAAGGAGAGTCACACATGAGACCTTGGCTATGCATGCAGAAAGGAAGTAATGGACTGCTTAGTGGCCATGGCCATTCATGCTTGACAGGTGAAAGAATGGACCAATATTCTTCTCTGGACAACTTTCATGTGACCACAAGGGAAATGACTAGCTAGTCATGGTGAATTGGAAAGCAGATCCTAGTTTGTGGTTACTAAGAAATAGCATATTAATTGGCAAATAGTTAAAAACATATATTGTCAACGTGTTGGATAGTGTTTGTGTTCTCGTGTTTCCCAATCTTGAGATAGAAGAAATTTCAATTGGCTTTTACCATGTAGAAGGATGTTTAAGGGTTTAATCTACACTGAAACATGTAGATTATCAGTTAACCTTAACAAGTCAGGTCATACTTAAAAAAGAAAACAACAAAACTTCATCCACTCATCAAATGTTTTCTAAATGCAAAGCATATGCAAAGTTTTATGAGCTGTGATAAAGATATGAAGACAAAACACAGTCCTTAACAGGGAACCAAAAGTAAGAATTAGCCTTTTATGAAGCCAAGTTGCACAAACAGAAAATATACACACAGAAAACTCTCACATAATCAAAAGATTCAGACAGCTACTTTTGCAAAAAGTGGCACACTTTTATATAAATTAATTATTCTGTTAGTTTGTTTGTAGGGGTGTTTTGCCTGGATGTATGTTTGTGCACCACACACATTCCTGGCACCTGTGGATGTCAGGAGATAGCTTCAGATCCACCGGAATTGGAGTTAGATGGTTATGGGATGCCCTGTGGGTGCTGGGAATCAGAACCATATCCATAGGAAGAGCAGCTAGTGCTGTTAACAGCTGAATCATCTCTCCAGCACTCTCCATTAATACTTTAAATGCTGGGAAGTACAGTGACTAGAGCAAAGGGGTAGACAGCCACACATTATCTTAAAATTTATGCAGTTTCACACTAACCAGTTGTTCCCAAAGCACAGCAACAGGAACTAAGCTTTTAAAGTACAAGAAAATGTTCACTGTTTTTAGGTTGCAACAGTAAAATTGAAATTAAATAATTCAGAGGGGGGAAAAAGCTAGACTGGTGTTTTAGTCTGTAATTAGAAATTTTCTGTTCAACATCATGTTGAATAGGGTGTCTAAAACTTGAAAATGTGTGTGTGTGTGTGTGTGTGTGTATTTATATATCAGAAATACATAGTTGCCCAGTGTCTTCTGTTTTATAAGATTATGTAAATTTTACAGCAATTTCTATAGAGCAATTCAACTGTTGCTAAACCTAGAAGGGAGGAAGTTTGTCATGATATTCCCATCTTATTTTCTAACAAAGTGATTTAATAAATATTTTAAATTGATGATTTCCATTAGGAAGAAAAATGGCAGCTTAATATATTATCATTTCTTAATATAATGGATGATACTTTACAAAATCAATTTTACTAGAATACTAATAGAAATCAAATCATATGCAAATGAATATATTGGAATTTCTTTTATTCATGACATAAATTCTTAAAACTTCTATTTTATTTAATACATTTCCAAATAAAATGTAAAACAATTTAGATACATATATCTTACTCATGATGCAAATTTTAGACTCAGGACAATGTTAAAAAATGTGTAATGTGAATTCAAGGGGCTACTGCTATATATTAAATAGAATTATTAAAAAGATGAGGAAATATTCTTGATACACTATGTAGTTTACCTTCGAAAGATTTAATTTTCAAATTTAACTCTTTAGTTACATCTGGCACATGCATTTTTTTTGGTAATCTTAAATATGATGAAATATTTTATTAACTAGAATAGACTTAGGAAACATTGTGATAACAATGTCCAACAGGAACTTAATCAGGTTTAATGGCTGATTTGACTGAAGGAGAATTAGAATCTGTAAACAATCTAGTCAAATGCAAATTATAAAAGTGAACGTAATAGAAAGTGAAATTTAGTTATATTTACTTATCAATTCAAGAGTCTCTTGCAAGTTCCTATTCTGAAAATTTGAGGCATTTATGCGAGAGATTTTTATGAGAGCAGGAAAGGAAGGCTGGCATTTGTTCACAGTTATCAGAATGTCAGGGAAAATGGGACAGAGACAAGATGTCAGGTATTCTAATACTAGAGTGAAAGACCACTACAGCTTCTCAGATACCACCCATTTATAGCACACAATTGATGCTATAAATAAATAATCAAAAGCACACACAAAGGGCCTATTACCATTTATAATGAACTTGGAAATATTTGAAGTAAAGAAATACTGTAACTTTTTAAGACTGTTCTCATTTTTATGACTGCTTGAAAAGTGTTTAGACTAAAATACATAACCAATAATGATTTGTTCTCAAATGGGTGAATTAAAGTGCCCTTGACCTCACAAAATGATAGTAATGACTCACTAGACTATACGACAAAGCATATAACTGAGTGTCAAGAATATGCAATTGCAGACCAGGAGCGTGAACTGTTTGGCTTCTACATTACTCATTTGCTTACCTGAGATATTTGTGGTCACATTGATGGCTGTGGCGGGCCCAAAGCCTTTGACAGTGCTGGCTCTTATGAAAAACTGGTAGGTGGTTCCAGGGTGGAGATGCATAAATACATGGTGTGTACTGTTCCATAAATTTGATACAGTCTGTGGAGGTCCAGCCACTGGAACGGCAGGGTCAAATGATCTGATGCTGCTGTAGCTCACCTATTGCAGGAAAGATGGTTCCCACTATGTATCAGCTGAAGGTGTAATACATTCTAATACGTCCCTTCTAAATGACAGCATGCAAGAGCCTCAAGGCATCATTGCTTTTCTTTTCTTTTCCTTTTCTTTTGGTATGGTTATTTCTGGTATCTGTCATTCATATTTCTCTCTCTCTCTCTCTCTCTCTCTCTCTCTCTCTCTCTCTCTCTCTCTCTCTCCCACTCTTATCATCTGTTATCTATCGATCTAGCTAATCTATCTCATTAATTCTCTATCATCTAGCATCTCCCCACTGATAAATGTAGCTGCATATCTAATTTGTCAAATATTTGACTTAGAACATCTGCCAAGGAACTGATATACTTAAATATGCACACTACATACAACATTTCTTGTTACATGCTTTCATGGAAAGAACAGAAAGTCTTCATCACAAGTATGTTATTCTTCTTCTCTTTTCTGTCTAAGGAACACATAGCCAGTTCTAGCAACACTTAGCAGCATTGGCTTGTAATCTGGGCTATTTGGGAGAGGGATACAAGTTCAAAGTCAGCCAGAGTTACAGTGTGATTTTATGGTCAATTTGTGTTAACTTAGTAAAATTGTGTCTCAAAACAAAGAGAAAAAGAAATTATAGAAAACTAGTGCTCAAATATACTAAAAGAGTAAAAAACATTTATTCTCATTCCTATAATTCATGCTTAGGCTCAAGAAATAGAAATGTTTATTCTATAATCAGGAAGCCTCACAACTGTGCAATTAAAAACGTCCATGTCAGCGATTGCTGAAAGGGATAAAATTCTCTTTCAATAAAAAAAATATTTAAAAATTCATTTATTCTCCTTAGCGTCTTACATTTGAAAATATAGTGATGGATATTCAAAGGTACAATGAAATTTTGAAATGGGTTTTTAATCTGTTTTGCTTCTGGGGGCTATTAATTACTTACTTTGAAAAACAGGCATTCAATGGCCTCTCCTTAAGCACAGTGTGATATTGCTTTCTAAATTTTAGAAACAGGGACTTAGCATTCTTACATGTAATTATTCATTATAACCATTAATTGGGTTTGACAAGGACAAAGTCCAGTTACACACATACACAGACGCCAAAACTAGCAAATATCCCAAGAATTTGAATATCTTTGGTACTGTATGGTGATAAATTTTCAATTTTTAAATCAAATAATTCGTGAATTAGAACAAAGGAGAGCTGATGATGTCTTAATATTCTCATCCCCATCCTTTCCATTATTTTCACTTAGCCTTTTCCTCTGGCCTCCTTGTATCTACGTGCCAAAAAGCACCACCGTTGTCCCCATACCTCATATTGAGTGATGATTCCATTTGGTTCCAATGGCTCTTTCCAGTTCAAGAAGATCTTGTTTTCAAAGGATGTTCCTTGGAGGGATTTGACTGGCACAGGACCGGGCACTATAAATACATGTATTTGTGATAAGCACATGTGCAAATTTGAAAAAATATCACCTCAACAAGATAAACACCATTCAAAGTAGATGTCATCAAGTGAAAAATATGTCTTTAAAAATGAAATCAGTACATGAACGGTATTCAGATTTGACCCTGGTAAGAGACACAGGATGTCAGTCTGTAAGTTTCTAAAGCAAGAAATGCAGAAATGTAAAGTTATTTTTATTCAAATGAATATTCAATCACCTTGGAGAGTTGCATAGTCATGTACTCTGGTTTCCTCTGTTGTATACCTCTAATAACATGAAGTTCTTATTTGTAATTTGCTTCGAGAACAGAGATGCATTTCCCTAAAAGATTTTTTGAAGATTATGATAATACCCTAAAGAGGCTCCATCAACGAAGTTCATAAAATAATGAATTATAATCATAATTAACGCTCCTTAGACTCAAAAGCCAAATCACACAGCACTGACTTAAAATGCCCATTAAAAATCACCCTGACTTTTGTAGCTATACTTATTAAATTTTCTATAATTAAAAAGATAGCATTGGTTATTATAATTTTTAAAAAGTTGTTCAAGATGAATATGTTAAAATGTAATTGCTTCATGCTTTTACTTTTTCTCAGCTAAGAAATAGCTTATTAAGAACAAGCTGGTTCAGGATTCAAGGATCTCTCAATTTGCTTGGTGCATTCATTTGTCAGAGCTGAGGATGGGGTGGGGCTCAGGACTTTGTACACGAAAGCCAGTACTTTACCACTGAGCTATCTCAAATACTTTACTGTAGTCTTTCTTTCTTATTTATTTATTTTTTGTTACTGTTTTGTTGTTTGTTTGTTTTGGACAGGATTTTTTTGTTTTGTTTTTGTTTTTCGAGACAGGGTTTCTCTGTGTAGTTTTGGTGCCTGTCCTGGATCTCCCTCTGTAGACCAGGCTGGCCTCGAACTCACAGAGATCTGCCTGGCTCTGCCTCCCGAGTGCTGGGATTAAAGGCACGCACCACCGCTTCCCGGCTTGGACAGGGTTTAACGTACTTGTTCACTTTGAACTCCTTGTGTAGCCGAGGATGACTCTGAATGTATGATCCTTTGTCTCTACCTTCAGAAAGCTGAGATTACAGGCATGTACCTCCATGCTTTGTTTTATGCCACATTTGCATTGGGGACTTAATTCAGAGCTCCACGCATGTCAGGCAAGAATTGAAACTCCTTAGTAATTTTGCTCCAGTCCTTATTTGCAAAGGTCTAATAATTTGCAAAATCCTGAGTCATTAATTAGCAATGTATCAGTTACTATTGACAAGCTACAAGATATTTCTGCTATTGTGTATTTTCTTTTACAGATTTCACTTTAAAACCTGACTATCCACACAATCCAGATTCTTCTTCTAATCATGCTTTACAATACATATCTCACACACTTGAGTTAAATTTCGTTTTTAAAATATCAACCCAGTATTGGGCAAGTATGATTTTTAATTAATATTTTCCCTGAATCTAACGTTTCAGTGAACTTCACACATGACATTATCTAGAAATGCTGTTTCGAAGTACAGAGCAATTTCATGAGGATTGAAATAAATTAAAAATCACTGGATCAAAGGAAATGTATTTCTTCATGGCTAGCAGCCGCAAGAAATTCTGAATGATATGCCACCAGACTAAGATTTATTTCATTCTACAAGGAGACTGTGAATGATGCTATGACCTCTGAGACAGGCAACACAAGGTGCACAAAAAAAAGAAAGAAATCCATAGGAAAAAAAGAAATCCGTAATAAACAGATAGCATGGCTATCTTTGGACATGTTAATGGCCCTGTCAGCCAACCATCCCTTACCCATGTTCCATGCTGTTGGCACGGGCTACTGTGTCCATCAGGGCAGAGAGCCTGACAAGCATTCTGTGCAATGTCTGGCAATGCCAAGGCTCCCAGTTCACTGAGCAAGGGGATATCTGGGCATCTGTGGATTCTGATTATGACTGCAATCAAGGAAAATATCTCTTCACAAGTTTGTCAGGGAAAGTGGCAGATATGGGTAGGAAGAGTCTGAACAACAAACAGTGAGGAATTGTTATGAAAACTCCTGTGCCTGTCTACCAAGAGTTGGCCTATATGTACTATGAGATAGAATGAAAAGATTTCAAATTATTCTGATTTAGGGATGGTTCAAAATATCTGCATATTTCTGCATTGAAAGATGGACAGAAGTGGAAAGTTGTTTCACTACTATTTTGATCCCCTTCTAACGCATGGTCTACTTTGCTATAACTTTGCTTGAAGTATTTATAGGTTCTATTTTCAAGACTGAAAATATGGAAGAAAATCATGCCCAAGACATGCCACATATATGACCATGACTTGGACTAATTAATACTCCACTAACATACACATAAAGGAAGTGTAGATGAGGTATGGGCACAAACCAACTACATTCATTTAGGGTCTGCATCTGAACAGGGATGATGCCTCTACACACAAAGACAATGTCTCAATTCAGTTATGATTTGCCTAAATACAGCATGAAGCTCTTAAAGCCATTTCATGCCTAGCTACAGACTATGGGGATTGTCACTTCACATTTCCACATCAACAACTTTTAACGGAGACAGAGTGCTGACTTTTGTTCCTGTGCCTGTGACTTATCTGAGAGCTGTTTCAGCTAATTTTGTCTTGAGCAAGAGAAAGTCCTTCAAATACAACTTCAAAAACGGAAAAGAAAAATGAAATAGGTATGGAGAAAGATTATATTAAATAAGCATTATAGCCTCTAAAACATAATAAATGTACATTTTAAAATAGCTTTGTAGCCTTAAAAAATGTCCCCAAACCAGGCTTTTCTGCTGAGCTAACTTCATAATATTGATTTTCATGAATGCCGGAATAAAAAATGAAAACAGAACCTCATACACAAAATTCTGCCCATGCATTAAAAAGCACGTGTAATAAATTAAGTATAAATTCTACCCTAAGGTTCTAGTGGGAAATGGTTCTAGCTTTGGGAGCTTGATTTATGGAAGTCCCCAGAATTCTTTTCACACAATTATATCATTTTATTAGATGGTTGATAATTTATTCTTTTTCTATGTATATAGGGCAGCAATAATTTAGCAAGACTGACTTAATTGGATCATCATAATCCATCGATCGCTGCAACAATAAGCATGAGTTAGTCATTCCTCCTCTTCTCAGAACACTGAGATACATCAAGTATTCTGTGTAGAAACCCAAGCTCACACGAGCTGCCATGAAGAATGAGTTACAAATACTCCAGGAAAGTTTCTACATCAGTCATCAAGTATTACTTATTGAAGAGAAAACCAACAAGAAAAAGAAAATAGCCTACCATATGGGATACCACCATAGGGATTAGTCTGTAGTCATACTGTGAAACAATAATGTGCACTTTTGTGTAACTGAAGTATATATATATATAAAGCATTCAACACAGAAGTTAAAATAAAAGTATACCTGAAAACACTACTGAAATTCAATGGAGAAGTGTTATTTCTAATTTATAAAACTGATTCTACATAATATCAACCTTGCCATTTTATGAGTTTGATCAGTTCAGTGCAAAATTCCACAGCAATTTCATTACTTGTTTGTTAACATATTTCTTTGTATAACCAAATGTTGTTTAAAAATATATTGCAATTAACAAAAAAAGTTATAAAAATCTGACTGCCTTCTTTGTTTGTGGGACAGAAGAGATGGAAGGATTTACTGGTTATGGAAGCAATTGGTAAATGCCAATTCCTGTTAAGATTAGCCTCAGATTATTATATAGCAGTTTCCCCCAACATATGTTCATTTATAAAAGACAATTAACAGCTGGGCGGTGGTGGCGCACGCCTATAATCCCAGCAATTGGGAGGCAGAGACAGGCGGATCTCTGTGAGTTTGAGGCCAGCCTGGTCTACAGAGTGAGATCCAGGACAGGCTCCAAAGCTGCACAGAAAAACCCTGTCTTGAAAAAAATCAAGAAAAAAAAAGACAATAAAATAAAGTGTTAAAGTGTCATCCTAAAATATATAGTTGTTAGTAAAATAATAACAGATTTGGAATTTTTGCATATATTTCTGTTCAAAAATGAACTGTATTCATATTAATGATGCACCATACCATTAGGGAAAAGGCCTATATATATTCTAATGTTAATATAAATATGTATTCTTATTACTTAATTTTTCATGAACAACATTTCTTAGATGGTAATAAAATCTATTAAAGATGATGGCCTGTTATTTTCTTCTGAGGATCTTTATTTTGAGTGAAAAGTGTCCTGTGTTTTTTGTGTTTTAATTCATCGAAAAAGACCATTTGCAATCAAATGGAGTATTTTATCTTCAAATATTAGGAAAACAATAGCAGCTAGAATGATTTATAAAATGCACACACAATTTGTAAGAAAGTGAATTTTACCACTAGGTAACTGCTCGAGTGGTGTGGATAACAACTCTTTCTGTTTTTACATTTGGTAAGAAAATCTTTATTTAAGCTCTAGGCATCATTGCCACTTCTGCTATCATTTTATTTAAAAAGACATTGTGGGTTAGCCGGGCGGTGGTGGTGCACGCCATTAATCCCAGCACTCGGGAGGCAGAGGCAGGTGGATCTCTGTGAGTTCGAGGCCAGCCTGGTCTACAAAATAAGACGCCATGGGTGCATGTCATTTAGTATTTGTATTATTTTACGAAGAACACCAGGTCTGTTATAGGTAAATCGGGCTGAGACAATTTGGTAGATTTCTGAGTTCAGTCCTGGACAGTGTATGGTAAATTTGAAAGAATGACAGTGTATGGTAAATTTAAAGGAATGACAGTATTCTTTGCCCCCCTTGTGAAGACCACAAACATGAACATACCATCTTCATCAGTTTGAATGATCGTCTCTTCGCTCTCCTTCCTTCCCTCTGGATTGGTTAGGATCATCTTGAGGCTGACATTTGTATAAGGTGGCAGATGGTTCACAACGTGCTGAGGGGCTTTGGGGTCCATGTCCAGGCAGTCCGCCCTGCTCTCATTGTGGCCACGGAAGTAATGGTAGCAGATAGTGACATTGAAAGTGTGGCAGCGAGTGATGTTGTAACCCAAGGACTCCCAGTCCACAGCAATGCGCCTTGCCTGGATTTCAGCAATCTTTAAAGTCTTTGGGGTCCGCATGGGTTCTGCAAAAGAAATCAAAGTTGCAGAAAGATGTCAACTTGACCGTGACTTCTTTTGGAAGAGTGAAACACTGAATGTAACACAGCATATACAAACCCAGTGAATGTCAAGAGAATCGGTTTTTAGTGTGTCGTCAAGAGAGTCTTTCGGTTTTAATGTTCGGTCTATTCATAATTTTATTGTGGTCAGTTTTGGAGACTGATTCAACAGTTAGAAGAGAACTAAAACATCAAATGACAACAATCTGTAGTACTCAGGAACTCGGCAGCAAAGAGAAAACCAGAAAATGCAGAAACAATGCCTGACAGTTGTCGCTGTCCGGTTCCCTGTCCCTTTTCTTTGTCATTACTGCGCGAGCAGATTAGCTCATACATCAGAAGGGACAAGAGTCAATGTGCGCTGCTCAGTGATTTGTCATGTCACTAAGCTATGGTGTGTACTAATTAGTCTAATTGTAACACTAAACTACCATTTACCAAAAATGACACAGATATTAATTAACACTAATTATTTCAGTAATGATGCTGTTCATCAACGCAAATAAGAATTCAGAAAAATTACAAGAACTCATGTGGATATTCACACCATCTTCTCTCCTTCTTGAGCTCTCTGTGACTTATTTTCTAGACAACACTCAGGTCTAACAACCCATGTGCTGTCATACAAAGCAAACAAGGAGGTGAGTTTTCACTCAGCTGGAAAAGGCTGGCAGGACTGAATACTCAGAAGACTGGAGTCCATCCATCACTGACTCCCAACGGTATCCGTTCCTCATGCAAGACTGACTTTAATTGTCTAACTTAATCAAAATAATTACTCTATGAAAGTCAGGGCCATGGTGAACCCTAGACAGCACAGAAACCAGAACACTGCAAAATGTTAAGACATCGATTAGACAAAAATGAAAGAGCTGAGGCCAAGCTCAAGGTCTTACTGGTGTCTTCCGTAAGGCACTTAAGAGGGTCAATACCATCGCTAACTGGAAATCAGGGGGGCTCAAAGAAAAACAAAGGCAAAAGGCCCAATTTGGGTGTTTTTATACATTTTTATATTTGAGATTAGAATCTCTGTCCTATAAAAATAATTAGGATGCAACACAGATGGTAAGCCCAAATTGGGAATCCAGATCAATGGTTGTTGTGTGGGATGGGAAACAATCCCGAGTGGGGAGTATTTTAAAATTTCCAAACTAAAAATTCCCCATGTACACATGCAAACTAAACTCTAACGCTTAAATTTCAATTGTTGGTAGGCAATCTCCCGACTTCAGTCTGCCTGCTGTATCCGATTTGTCTTGTTTACTGTTTTAAGCACACAGAAAAGAGGAGGATGTGGCCTTTCAATCATACATGTTGTTGCATAGCTAACTCTATGCTAATACCTCCCCCATGGGGTGATCCATACCAAGACCTGGTGATTCTTCCAATTTGGATCAATCTTTGTCTCTGGTGTCCAGCAGCTGACCAAATAGTAACTCCAATCATCTCCAGAAATACTGAAATTTCACTATTGCTGGGTAGCAACAAGACTTTCTTCAGTGGCCATAGTCAATTTGAACCATAAGCCTGTCTATAAAGTACTCATTTGTATCCAGAATGAGGCTGTAAGAAAATATCTAGAATATATGAATGAGTGACTCCTAGATATCAATGGCAGACAACACCACTGATAAAAATCTCCTGGTTAGTAATGCTATGTTCTTACACTGATCCTCTCCTTTGATTCTGGTGTTTCCTCTTTCTATGCAGTTTTCTGTCTCTGAGCCATCACCCTCTCTCAACATTTTTTTTTTTCACTTCATCTCCTTGTTCAGCTTGTAGCTCTTCCACAACCTAATACCATTGCATACACCACGGAAGATGTCAGTGCCGATGTGCACCCTAAGTCCTCACATAGCTCAGAGTTAGCAAAAGATGGATTAATTACTGTGCTGGTTAATTTTTGTCCAACCTGGACATATCTGGGAGGTGGGCATCTCAACTGAGGAACTGCCATCATCAGACTGGCCTGAGGGCAAGGTTAGGAGGCATTTTCTTGATGTTTACTGATGTGGGAGGGAACAGCCCACCGGAGCTAGGCCATCCCTGGGCAGGTGGTTCTGGGTTGTATAAAAAGCAGGCTGACAAGTTGTGGGGAGCAAGCAGGTAAGTATTACACCTCCATGGCCTCTGCTTCGGGTCCTGCCTCCGGGTTTCTGCTGGAGCTGCTGCCTTGGCTTCCTGCAATGACGGAGTCTAATTGTAAGAAGCAATAAACCCCGTCCTCTCCAAGTTGTTTCTGGCCACTTATTTATTTATTTATTCATTTGCTTACTTATTTACTTATTTAAATCACAGCAACAGATAATAAACTAGGGCAATTACTAATTAGGTAAAAGTGCACCTCTGCACTTGGAGAACGTGGTTTGTGTGTATGTGACTGTTGCTTATTCATTTGGCATTCATAGTGAATTACACATGAAACTCAGTACAAATCAGGAAAAACTACACTGTCCATCCAATGCGTATATGCCACCACCAAAATTTCAGTGCTGATACGTGATTAACAAAATAATTTTTGACATAATTTTCTAAGATGAGTCTTTCAACAAAGTCAGCATGTTGCAATTCTGCTCCCAGAGATTGAATTAGGTGATCAGTTATCCTACTCCTGTTAAATAGATATTTAAACATAATTCTGCATTCTTTTATCTTACTACATAGTCTGGACCGGGTTGGAACCCAGTTCCTTCTCATGCTCACGTAAAAGAAATATAGGCAAAACGAGAATTGAAAAAAAGTGATACAGCGAGGTTTTATCAGAACCGTAGGGAGAAACACAATAATGTAGAGATCTTAAAGCAGCAAATGGTCACATAAAAATGCCTACTGGTTATTCATCTATTATGAAACAAAAATGGACTCTTCTACAGGTATGCAAAATGATACAGATGGTAGTAAAATGAATAAAACATAGTGTTCGGCCTAAGGAGCTTACCTCTTATTTATTAAAGATGATAAAACAAGAAAAAGATTACATTTTGATATAAGGGAGACATAACGGTATCTGTGAACCCATGAGGGAGTGATAACTCCTGCTTGTCAAATACAGGAGGCATGTGCATTGAGTCTCAGAAGACAAAATCTAGATCTACAGACATATTTTGGATAAATAATACAATAGTAAAAGAAATAAGATGAAAAGAAATGTGGAACACAATTGCAAAAAAGAAAACCATGAATTCCCATTTGGTAACTTTACAAATACCCAGCTGGATAAAAATGTAGGAAAGACTGGTTGGACAAGCAGTGAGCAAACTTTGATGTTGTCATAGGAGGCGGAGTTGAACTTGAACTAATAGTTTCTGGGTAGAAAGTTAACGAAGCCAACACAGCTGCTTTAGAAAGATTAAAAACTGGAGGCTACATTATAGGTGGAGACATTGGGTTAGGGAAATCCAAATACTGCAATATGTAAGGAAATAATCTGGGTTGGACAAGAAGGGTGCATCAGAGATGGACAGACTAGACACCACATTGGAGGAAAGATCTGGAAAACTGAGTGTCTATTTGGATTCAATATATTTAAATAGGTATTACATAACTGTTGTGTTCAGACAGAATGGCTTACAAAATTATGGTGCTCTTAAAAGGAGGAAAAAAATCAAGATACTGTATACTAAGAGGTGAAATGATATAGTGATTCAATATCATTTACTTATTGCTTTCTGTTAGCCATGAAGTGTACTGGGAACAAGGAATGCGAAGATCAATTTAACCATGTCCTCTTTTAAGAAGTAAGGCAAACAAGCAATAATTGAACTAACTTATGTTTTAGGAAGTAATGCATATAGGCAATAATTGGAGCAATTTATGTTTTAAATAACTGGGAAGCATTCTGATGAAGAGATCTGAACAGAGGCATTGGTCTACCTGAATAAAGGGAAGGGGTACTCACACCCTTTCAGAGACAGAGGGATGAGGTGAAGGTAACAGGGGAGAGGGAGTGAAGGAAGAGATAAGGGGGTGAAGGGGAGATGGAGGGAGAGTGTGAGGGAGAGAGAGAAACAGAATTGAGGCAGAACAATAGTGTGGGCCATGGGTCTGGAAAGGAAGAGAGTGTTAACAATATAGAAGTACAAATTCATTCAAGAGAGAAGGCGCGAGAATCCACCGAAGTCTAGTACATATTTTAATCTCATGCTACAGCATTTTCTTATGTTCTTAGACAGGTGAGCTGCTTCTCTAGAGACCGACTAGCTAAAGGACCAGTAGAGGTCAAATAGAAACCAGACCTTTAGACTGCCTTGGCATCCCGCTCATCTCAGCGTGATCTTGCCAGGAACTATCCCAGTCTCAAAAACATTGGCTATGCTCTGTGGGTCCTCCTGGATTATTTTAAAAACATTGTTGTCTGAGCCCATTTTCTTCTAGATTATGGAACCATCAAGACCAGGCAGCCAGATCTCCCCCGCCCTTTTTTTTTCTGAGACAGGGTTTCTCTGTATAGCTTTGGTGCCTGTCATGGCTCTGGCTCTGTAGACCAGGCTGGCCTCGAACTCACAGAGATCCGCATGGCTCTGCCTCCCAAGTACTGGGATTAAAGGTGTGCCCCACTACCAACCAGCTCAGAGCTATTATTTGTATAGATACTAATGCTTGGATGATTTTTTAAAATTGTCTTTAGAACATAAAAAATTAAGCATGTTTTACTGATATTCCCCAGAATGGAGAGATTTTGTTTTTTTTTTTTGTTGTTGTTATTTTTAATTGACCCCTTAAGTTAGTGAAGCAAATTGCTCTGAATCATACTCTGTCATTTTGGCTCCTCAATGATTTGTGTGTGTGTGTGTGTGTGTGTGTGTGTGTGTGTGTGTGTTTGTGTGTGTGTGTGTGTGTATCTGCTGTGCATTATGAACTGAAATGGACAAACCAAATATACCTGACATGAACACCAAAGTGCTAAAATCTCAGAATCATTTTCACATGTGGGGAAAAAAAAAACCAAGAACCCTGGACAGTGT